ATCTCTTGACCTCGTGATCCACCCGCCTCGGCCTCCCAAAGTGCTGGGATTACAGGCTTGAGCCACCGCGCCCGGCCCTTAACAAATGTTTTTTCCTCATGTAAGAAAACTACCTGTGTGCTGGGGAAAATTTTGAAAATGACAAAAACCAGAATACCTACACCCATAATCAATTACAGAGAAAATAACAAAAACCAGAATACCAACACCCATAATCAATCAGAGAGAACCACTGCTCCTAATTCCTTCCAGTCTTTTTTCTTGGCACATACACATTTTTCTTATATATGACATAGGATGTTTTATAAAGTTAGTATCCTACTCTGTGCACTGCTTGGTGATCTGATTTAGTCAATGTATGAAACATTTTGAAAGTTTCTGTTATTAAATGTTCTTTCAAAATATAATTGTTAGCAGCCTTCCAGCCCTTGAGTTCTTCTTTAGCTTCTCCCTCATACGTCTGGTCTTGTATTCCCTTCCTCAGAGGCTGGGGTGGGGCTCCCATGGGGCGGCAGGCAGCCCAGTGCCCAGATCATGTGGCCACGAGTCTGTCCACTGGTCTGGAATCCTCGGACCAATAATCTCCTCTCCTCCTCTGTGTAGCACTTGGCACAAGCATGGGCAGGTGCCTTACCTTTGAGGCTCAGGTGACCTCACAATACAGGGGTCACAGGTGGACCCACTGGGATAACTTCTGGGGAAAAACTGAAGGTTCCTCTCCCACTGGCCTCTCTGGCTGGTCCCTTGATCCCTCCTTCCCAGGGTTATCAGGCAAGCACAGCAATAAGGTCCTCCCTTGTTTCACAGGGCTGTGGGACCAGTCCTCCCTCTCAGGGCCTTGGGCCAGCCCCAGAACCCACTATGTTGAGCACTTTACACACATCCTCTTCTCTCCTGGGCTTCATGGCAGTCCTGGGTAGCTGGCCTTATCCTGGCCTCAATGCTGCCTGTCCTGACAGCTGTGACTGACCACCAGTAACATGACGTCAACACTGAGGAGTAAGAGTGCCTGCTGGGAACACTGCAGGCCCAAGCTGATCAAGGGGGAGAAGCCCCACCCAGGGTGCCAGAGGTGAAGCTGGCCGGGGGTCACTGGGGCCAGGGCAATAGGCTTCTCCTTTCCCCACCACCCTCACCCTGGTGGATTCTCAACATCAAGGCTTGATTTAGCCAGCACTTTGGGAGGCTGAGGCAGGTGGATCACCAGAGGTCAGGAGTTTGAGACCAGCCTGGCCAACATGGGGAAACCCTGTCTCTACTAAAAATACAAAAATTAGCTGGGCATGGTGGCAGATGCCTGTAATCCCAGCT